TTTTCTAACGCAAAAGTGTGTCCAATTGTGTTTTGAGGTCTTCCAGAACTACAATTATGTCTTCAATTACAAGGCACAAATCCGTCCTGGGTATGACGATAAACTACGTCTAACAGCAAGACTTTTGATCAGGAGGTTTTGAGAAGCGTGGAACCACCTTTAATTGCCAGGACCACGCTAACCCGGGGTGGTAGAACTTGTTAGGATCGTAGCTATGGGTATATAGTTAAACCCCAAACTGGGGTCAAAACACTATGAAAGCGTAAAAATAGGTTTTAATACCAAATATACCTTGCAAAAAATTATTACCAGCATAATTTTTTTGAAGGAAAAAATTATTACCATCATTACCAGGAAAACATTTTTTTTTAAATATTACCAGTAATAAAAATTTTGTCGGCATTAAATAACCCATTGTGGTTGGTATGCCGTAAACCAAACCAAACCACAAATAAATCAGAATAATAAAACAACAAATATATGACAAAGCTTCACTTTTTTGCTTGATAGAATTAAAAGCAAAATATTTAAACTTTTTGGACATTAATAAACACTTAAAAATAGAGGTCTCAGGAATATGTCTCGTGGGATATATTCCTGGCCAAAGAATAATTAATTGGTCGGTCGAAATTAAAATTGAGGAACGACAAAACTCAATCGCTCAAAGTCCAAGAGTTGGTCGAATAACAAAAAAAATCTTACTAAATAAAAAATAAATAAATAAAAATAAATAAATAAATAAATAAATAAAAATAAATAATAATAATAATAATAATAATAATAATAATAATAATAATAATAATTCGAACGCATTGGTGAAATTAAAATTATGTTCCACGTCAATGCGGTGCAAGACATGAAAGTTTGAATTATATATATATATATATATATATATATATATATATATATATAATGAAAATACTAGCTACTAATATTAAAAATAATATACTTCATATTATACAATTCAACGTATATTAAATTTTGCAGAACATCCGGCAATTAATTCTCAATATAAGACTGAAGCGACAATTATTTTTAAAATATACTGATACAAAATAGTAGTAATAAAAAACTTCCTAAAAAGAGCACACCAGAATTCATCTTCTCGACTACTCTTCATTAAATAACTCAATAACGTAAAACAGACACTAATTAACAATGGCTTCCCTAACCATGTTATAGACGACCAAATTAGAATATTTTCCCCAAAGTAAATAACAACGAGTGAACATACATTCAAAGATTATGTAAATATTTTCTGCAAAAACCAAATGCACATTAACTACAAACAAGTTGAATCTTCATTTAGAAATATCATAAATAAATACATTACCTCAATTGATCCGAATAAAAAATTTAAATTAATTATCTACTATAAAAAATTTAAGACAGTGAAATTTATCCTCAAAAATAACACACCAGCTAAGTCAAAATTACAACGAACGAACATGAGTTCAAATGTCCTGTGTTCCTGATCAAACCGAACACATAATTTCATCGGTCACACAACAATATGACTATCCAGATGCCTTACGTTACACTTATCTGACCACAGCTCTATTAGAACCCATTTAAGGACACACACACAAACCTACCAGACTACATTTGAAATATGCTAGTAGAAAACAAACTTAATAACCTCATCCACCTGTAAAAAAGATTTAAAATAATGGAAGGCCTAATAACAAAAAAGAAAAAGCCAACTCTTAACAATATTAACTACGAACAAGGCCACAATGTTCTAACCGTGATCGGGAAATAAAACATCTCTATAACAAAAATGATACACATAATGCACACACACAATTGAAATGAAAAATAAAATCCTCCTTGATAATGGCTAAAAGTACAGCCGAAAGCGCTTTGAATTATAGAACATTTGAACAGGTTTCTATACACTGTGTGTCCAAAAAAGGAAACATTTGTTCGAACACAATAAAAATTAAATAAAAAACTTAATCGTTGTCTGTAGTTTTTAATGAAACATGCATATATATATATATATATATATATATATATATATATATATTACAACGATCAACCATTGACAAAAAAATATTTCCCAAAAACGGAATAATTAAAAAGTGCTCGATACAATTTTCAAAAAACGAAAATATAGGGCAATTTAAGATATAAAAATTCTCTCTCTCTCTCTCTCTCTCTCTCTCTCTTTTATATATATATATGTATGTGTGTGTGTGTGTGTGTATATATATATATATATATATATATAATTTTTGTCTTAGAAAAAACATGACCCTAATGACGATATTGTATTAATGTGGAAAGTACACGGAATAAAATGAATATGCATTTTCTTTCTTCCTTTATTAATGATACTAAGAGACTTGTTCGTTATACATACAATTTATTTAATTAAATTTTTAAATAAACAGTATTAATTACATTTATCGGCCGGAATGTATCTATTAAAATAACGTATAACCCGATAATATATAAAATAATTGCCAGACTTAATGCATTTCAATATATATATATATATATATATATATATATATATTACGCGACTTTTGAAGACCTAATTTTGAGAGCCAAATTTAAGGGGATTGCATATTACACGAGATATAAAATTACAGTATGTACTTCTAGCCCTGGCTACATCGTTGACCAAACTATATATCCATTTACTCTAGTCAAATTATCTTCAAAATTAGGTTTTCAAAGGTCGCATGATACACGAAAATGTATATATATATATATATATCAAATTGAACTGCACCACATATTTGATATATATATATATATATATATATATATATATATATATATATCAAATATGTGGTGCAGTTCAATGTATATTATAATGAATCATTCGATGAAAAGTAGATTAGTAAGGTTAATGCAATATAAAATTTTGTTTGCGAAATCGGATTTCGCCATTTTATAAAATTTAAAGTTTTATTAACCTACGAACTTTTTGTATGAATGATTCATTGTAATATACATTGAACTGCACCACATATTTGATATATATATATATATATATCCTGAATTTGCTTACTATGTATGTCTTCTTACTGACAACAAAATGTGCAGTGGTAATAATGTCGAATTCTCAGGAGGAAACTATTATTTTGAACACGTGAAAAGAGATGAGGATTTTAATTCCCTAATTTTAAGAGGAAAGTTGGGACTGATGACTGAAAAGCAAAAAGTTTACAAGATCACAGAGTCAATAGTCAATAGTCTACAATCTCGATTGCCTGATTTTGTTCCTATGTATATTCAATGCATTCCCTAAGAATACACCGCTGTGTGTCTATAAAGTCGTCCCTTAAAACTTGCAGGTCTAGTGTTGTCTTGCAGCAAAGTGATTTCATATACTAGTATTCGCTATTTTATAACCACACAACTTTATACCTATTGAGGAAATACTTTTAAATCTTTTAAAACTGTAAAATTTGTTCTTCAAATAAGATATGACGACCACAGTTATTTAAATGTTGTAAATATCATATTTGCCCTCCCCCCGCCAATTGTTATTTTTGTACTGGTAAATCATGAGATACCTTTTTTTGACCTAGGAGGTATAGAATAACCCTGTTTATCCGTCAGTAGACGAGTAGTCAGAGTAAAGGGCAATAAAGCTTCTGTTTTACTACAATTTTTTTTAATTTTTTTAATTTCCGAGATGAAAGAGTGTTAATTATTAATTTCTCAACTAGTTTTTCTTTCGTCATTATTTCAGTTGTCCTGTACTAAAACCTTAAGATAGTCATTCTACGACCGTTAAGAAACACTAGAGATCAGAAATAAAGACCTAGCCACCGGCGATACTCAAATTCGCACCTCATTTACGTTTTTTTGATTGAAATCACCCTAAACAAGGCAGTAAAGCCACTAAGACACAAGACATTACTGCTTTTGAAAGAATTAGAAAAAAGTATATTGGGAAGTGAGAAAAAAGGAGAGTAATGAGAAAGACAGTAGATAACGATTGACATTGCATTTAAATTTTTGAAGATCGAACTTGACTGGAAAGTAAGCGGCCAGAAGAGAGTTTCACAAGCAAAAGTGCGAGAAAAGAAACTCTTAGCATAGAGCTTACGGTTACATCTAGCCAATTCAACTGTAAATTGATGAGACCTAGCTGCCAATCTAGTACTGCGCTTAAATTCATAAAGTCTAGATGCCATAGCGAAAATCTCACCGGAACAATTCACATGAAAGCATTTATAGAAGAAGCACGGAACTAACTTTACGCTGGTGGGAAAGTGACTGAAGCCGAGATGCCAGATCATTACCAATAATATTACTGATTCTTTGAATTTTATCAAGAATCTCCAAATATAAAATAGGAGCACTGATTGAAGAATTGACGGAATGCAGAAATAGGTCTCACGGATGATTAATTGAGTAGTTTTGTTTTGGAGGCGTTAAAATTAACAAGTCGTCCTTTGCCCCAGTTAACAATGACTGTATGTCACGTTTTTTTAGATCAGAAGCCAATTTCACCTTATCGATTTGATCAGACTTAGTATCGTGACAGGAGTAAATGGTTGTGTCATCAGCGAAGACACCAAGTTGAGATCTCAAGCTATCAGGAATGGCATTGATGAAAATTATTAACAATATAGGACTAAGGATAGCGGCCTGAGGGTCACCAATTTATTTATTTACAAAAAAACACGCTGCTTCTTAAAAAGAAATCTGGAAAAATAATTTAGGTACTTTTTTGTTTTTTACTTGAACCATCAAAACCTACGCAAATCATGACAGCCGTAAAATTGCGCGCGCGCTTACATTTTTTCTTTCTTTTTTGAAAACATTTTCAAATGTTTGCATTAAATCATATTTTAGAATTCAATATTTATTCTTGACATAATAAAGCAAAAGCTTCAAGCAGAAATTATAATAAATTAATGAACGCTTTTATCGAAATTGACAGAGGCTGGCAAACTAATGGAGAGAAAAACAAGGAACTAAAATTACACACTAATTTAACATATCTGTATTCATAATCCTCCTTCACGGTTGTCATGGAAGTCTTCTCTGATGAGGATGCTATCAACCAGCGTTCTTATGTCGGTGAAATGAACGCCTCGAGTGGTAAGTGTCAACAGGTCGGCATGACATTTCTACTACCAAAGTCTGGTCATAGTGCCCCAACTTTAGAACCAATATTCGGTGCATAACGACATTCTTATCTGCATTGACGGCTAAGGCGATTTTCTATTCAACGACTCTTTGGAAACCTTTCATTTGCCATTTCTTCAACGTTGTCTCCGCTAAAATTCTTATGGTGTCATTTTCATAATCTCTAGGTAAATTTCATGCTGCAGAGTTTTAATCCTACTTCCATTTTCCGGTCTTTTACAATTTTTTTCTTTTACTTTCCAGTTTTTTACCATTTCTTTCTTCTTTTATTTTTCCGTTTCGTTACCATTTCTTTATTCTTTGACTTTTCAGATCCTTACCATTTATTTTTTTTTTAATTTTCCATTTCTTTACCTTTCCTTCCTTCTATTATTTTTCAGTTCTTTACCATTTCTTTCTTTTCTTTTTCAGTTCTTTACCATTTCTTTCTTTTCTTTTTCAGTTCTTTGCCATTTCTCTATTTTTATTTTCAGACGCATTACCCCTTCTTTTATTTTTCGGTTCTTTGCGATATCTTTCTTCTCTTTATTTTTCAGTTCTTTACCATTCTCTCTTCTTTTATTTTTCAGTTCTTTACCATTCTTTCTTCTTTTATTTTTCAGTTCTTTACCATTCTTTCTTCTTTTATTTTTCAGTTCTTTACCATTCTCTCTTGTTCATTTTTCAGTTTTTTTATCATTTTTTTTCTCCTATTATTTTTGGGTTCTTCACTATTTCTTTCATCTTTTATTTTTCAATTCTTTACAATTTCTTTCTTTTATTTTTCGTTTTTTATCATTTCTTCTTCTATTACCTTTGTGTTCTGTGCCATTTCTTTCATCTTTTATTTCCGGTTTTTACCATTTTTTTAATTTTCCTGTTAATTACGCTTTCTTTCATCTTTCATCTTTTATTCTTTAATATTTCTTTCTTTTATTTTTCACTTCTTTACAATTTCTTTCTTCTATTTTCCAGTTCTTTACTATTTCGCTCATCTTTCATTTTCCGATTCGCTAACATTTCTTTATTCTTTAACTTTTCAGTTATTTTCTATTTTTTTCTTTTATTTTTTGGTTCTTTACCATTTTGTTCTTCCTTTAATTTTCAGTTCTTACCATTTCTCTCATCTTCTATTTTCCGGTTCTGTACTATTTCTCTCGTTTATTTAAAATTTTCGTTTATTTACCATTTCTTTGTTCTTTGACCTTTCAGTTCTTTACTATTTATTTCTTGTGTTTTCCGCTTCTTTCATCTTTTATTTTCCGGTTATTCACTATTTCTATCATCTATTTTCCGTTTCTTTACCATTTCTTTATTCTTTGACTTTTCACATCTTTACCATTTCTTCTTTTATTTTCCCTTTCATAAATATTTCTCTCATGTTTCAACTTTTAGAACTTTTCCATTTCTTTATTTTGTTTTTAAGTTCTTTACAATTTCCGATTCTTTTCCATTTCTCTCTTCTTTTATTTTCCGCTACATTACCATTTATTTAACCTTTTATTTTTCAGTTCTTTACCAATTCTTTTTTTTTTTCTTTACATTTTCTTTACCATTTCTTTCATCTTTTATTTTTCGGTTCTTTACCATTTCTTTCTTTCTTTTATTTCCCGGTTTTTACCATTTTTTCTTCTTTTATTTTTCGGCTCTTTACCATTTTTTTCTTCGTTTATGTTTCGGTTATTTATATTTTATTTTATTTTTCAGTTCTTTACCATATTTCATATTTTTATTTTCGGACACATTAACCCCACTTTTACGTTTTGGTTCTTTGCCATGTCTTTCTTCTTTTTTTTTTTTTTTTTTTTTATTTTTTTTTATTTTATTTTCAGATTTTTACCATTTCTTTCTTCTTTTATTTTCGGTTTTTTATCTTTTCTTTCTTTTATTTTTCAGTTCCGTATCATTCCTGCCTTCTATTATTCTTCACTTCTTTGTCGTTTCTTTCATGTATTTTTCGGTTCCTTAGCATTTCTCTATTTTTTATTTTCGGACATATAACCTTTTCTTTTACTTTTCGATTCTTTGCCATATATTTCATCTTTTTATTTTTCAAATCTTTACCATTCTCTCTTCTTCATTTTTCAGTTTTTTATTATCATTTTTTTCTTCTATTACTTTTGGGTTCTGTACCATTTCTTTCATCTTTTAATTTTCGGTTCTTTACCGTCTATTCTTTTATTATCCGTTTCATAAACATTTCTCACAAGTTTCAGATTTTAGAACTTTGCCATTTCTTTCTTTTATTTTTCACTTCTTTACAATTTCTTTCTTTGAATTTTTATTTTTTAACATTTATTTCTTTTATTTCCCGGTTTTTACCATTGTTTTATTTTTTGGTTCATTGCCAATTTACTTTATTTTTCATTTGTTTCTTCTTTACCATTTCTCTCTCCTTCTATTTTCTGGTACTTTACCATTTCTCTCATTTTTTTTGTCGTTTCTTTACCATTTCTTTATTCTTTTGCTTTTCCGTTCTTTACCATTTTTTTCTTTGATTTTTCGGTTCTTTACCGTTTCTCTCATGTTTATTTTTCGTCACATTACCCCTTCTTTTACTTTTTGGTTCTTTGCCACATCTTTCTTCTTTTTGCTTTTCAGTTCTTTACAATTTCTATCATCTTTTATTTGCCGTTTCTTTGCCATTTCTTTATTCTTTAACTTTTCAGTTCTTTACCATTTTTTTCATTTATTTGCCGTTTCTTTACCATTTCTTTCTCATTTTATTTTCCGGTTCTTTACCATTTCTTTCATCTTTTATTTTCCGGTTCTTTACCATTTCTTTCATCTTTTATTTTCCGGTTTTTTACCATTTCTTTCATCTTTTATTTTCCGGTTCTTTACCATTTCTTTCATCTTTTATTTTCCGGTTCTTTACCATTTCTTTCATCTTTTATTTTCTGTTTTTTTACCATTTCTTTCATCTTTTCATTTTCCGGTACATTACCATTTTTTCCTTGTTTTATTTTTCGGTTCTTTACCTTTTCTTTCTTTTATTTTTCTGTTCTTTCTTTATATTTTGTTCGCCAGTTTTTTTTACAATTATTTTGTTTTTCTTATCTTTGTTTCCACTCTTTATATTCTCGTCTATTTCTTTCAAGAGTTGTTCTATCTTTTCTTTTTGTCCCAATAGCACAATGTGGTCACGCAATGCAACCCTCTTTTTTTCCTCTGAAAACCTAAATCTCTTGCCATAATAACGCAAATCTACCAGGAATTATTTATTAACTTTTTATTACCATTTTACAGAAAGGTCAGTTACATAATTTCTGATAACACGTTTAACTTTGCGAAGGTGTTCAAGTGACTGGAAGTCAGTTTATCATAATTGATTGAGCAATCTTACAACAATAATTTTACCGTATAAATACAATACAAATTAATTTCAGTGAAATCGCATTTCAGTTGTTGCTACTAGAGAAATACGTCACAAATGTGTTTGTCTCTGTGAAGTTCATTGAAGATCTATTCTAGTCTTTCACGAAAAAATAAATCACGAATGTTTTTGTTCTTGAAATTTGTCGTCAATTATCGTCAAGTGAAACAGAGAGAAAATAATAAACGATTGTTGTAGAGTTTCTGTGAAAAAAGCTTGTCTCAAAATAGATTTTCATCAAATGGCTTTTCCATGAATATGGCTTCGATCTAAATTGATTTGATCCAACAAATATATCAGATCTTAAAGAGATTTGTTAGTCAAATGATTTACTATAAAAAAAATTACTTGATCTGATCTTAAGGAAAATCTCTGCGAATGAATTATTAAAACATTAAATTTATATTAATGTTAACACATTAGAAATCTTGAGAGCCACTCAGCGTAGAGGGTTATTGTTAAAATTGTTATGATGCATAAAATGCATAATATGGATGAAAAGAAAATTCTAGGTGGTGAAGATTATGAGGATAAGGAGGATAGATAACGATCAAGTCATTGCAAATGATGTATAATGTAAATAAACAACAGTTAATTTCTTTACAAATTTTATAAGAATAAAGAATTTATGACAAATCTTTTGAAGTTATTTTGAGAACAAAAATTAGTGCGCAGAATATGACAGACGACAGACAGACGACAGTTATCCATAATCAAAGAATATTATACCTGATAACAAATTAACTGATTATGAATTGTATTTTTGACATTTCTGAGATTAAACATTACTTCACTATTTTTCTCGTCATGATTTCCGTCCTGGGTATTATGATAAACTACATCCGACTCCTGGGTAAGATAATAAACTACGTTCAACAGCAAGGCCTCCGATCAGGAGGTTTTGAGGAGCGTGGAATCACCTCTTAATTACAGGTATTCCCAGGTCCACCCTAACCCGGGGTGGTAGCACCTGTTAGGGTCCCAGATATGGACAAATAGGTTATCCCCAAACTGGGGTCAAAACACTATGAAAGTGTAAAAATAGGTTTTAATACCAGAAATACTTTTTAAAAAAAGAAATTTATTACCAGCTATACGTTTTAGTTTATTTATATGCCCTAATAATATTAATAGTAATATTATTTTTTAATTTCTTCAACGAAACACTGGCGATCCGAGTTCGAATCCTGACCGCGTTTATTGCGTTTTCTTACCGTTATATTTTATTTCCATGCCCTAATAATGTTCATTCGAAAGACATAAATTCATTTTCCACACCTTCCACAGCGATGGGTTAAATGACAGGGGGCACTAGACCCTCAAGCCTTGGTTGGTAACCCGTCGACGAGAACAATTCTGAATTCAAAACTCAATGAGAAAACGCTCAACTATGCGTCCCAAGAATTCAGGCCGAAAATGAAGTACAGCTGCTACATATGGGCAGGAGCTTCACTTTCTACTTTCGATAGTCCAAAAACGTCTCTACGCCCTTGGAGCTGACGAATTATTTTCCACCGTACAACAATTTTGTCACAGACGAGACGTCATAAGTCTTTCGCTAGTCTATCGCTAAGTTCATGGATAGTTTTCAGATGAACTATACTTCTTACAGTTCGATCAGCGCTAACCTCCACGGCTAAGACCCGCCATGCCACGCACATTATAGCGAACCACGCTCATTCCCTTTGTATTCCCTTAGTTCGACTCAAACAGCCACTTCCCTCGGATCATTGTCTTATCGAACCAACTCCCAAGAGGTTGCTTCCCCGATCACTACAATCTTAAACTGTTCAAGTCTAGCATTAACTGTTATCTTCCACACATATCCGTATAAACTGTGCCTCTTAATCTGTAACCCTCTATATCGAGTGGCGATCGGGTCTTGTTCAGGGTGAACATCACATTAAAAAATATTAAGAGAGGAAAGGTTTGGAGATCCATAACTGCATTTGTCCTGAAGGAATATGGTATTTTTAAAATTTATTTTCTATAGCTACAATGAACTGTTCGGTCGCTGTTTTCCTAATGCGCTTATTTCACAAATAGTCAGAGCTCTCCACAAACTGGCAAAAGACATAACAAAAATTTTAACCTCTATCCTTGAAACCAGTCAACCTATTCGAAAAACTAAGGGAAACAAATATGGCTGACTCATGGCCAATCTAGATATAAAATCACTTTACACTAACATCTCGGTTGAAAAATGCTTAAATGTCTTTAAAATGACATAGATAAAACTCTTTCTACTAATAGCTAAAATAATAAAACACTAGTAACTAAAATAATAAAAATCTGGCGTCTTATCAACCATCAAGTATGTTTCAGATTTAGTAATAACTTTTATAAACAAACATTTGTATTACCAATACATAGAGTGATTACATGTATTTTCTTAGAATTTTTCGAATCTGGTCCTTTCCAAAATCAACATACTTTCGACAAATTGATGATGCTCTTTTAATATATCTCCGTGACAGTGATTTACCTGATCTTGCAAATAAGCAGAACAAATTCGAAAACAATAGAATTTACTTACGAACTGGAAGGAAAATATACTTTACATTTTTTAGATATCATGTTACACAGCGTGGACAGCAGCTTAAAGCTTAGTGATCACCTAAAAACAACTAATAAAAATGATCTAATAAATTTATATTCCCATCATAACAACAAAATAAACTCTGGAATAATCATCGGATTCTACTTAAGAGCACTCAGAATTTGCAGCCCTTAATATTTACACGAAGAAGAGAAATACATTGAAAAGACTTTCAAGACCCTCCAGTACCCTAACTTTTTCATATGCAATGCAAAACAAATGACTCATAAAATATTCGCAAATAGAAATGCAGCCCCTCCTGACAAATCCAACGAATAAAAAAAATATATTGTTCTACCCGCTAGCATTATCACAAATTGAAAAGAAAATTTGTCACAACTACATCTAAAACAATAAAAGACTTAATCAATACAAAACAAAATAGTGAGCTAAAACTTGAAGATTGGCAGAAAGAGTATATTGGAGAAACCTCAAGAATAAAAGATTACATGAAAAACAAAAGGTATATTTTAAAAATTAACCGCATTAGTAGTTCACCGTAACGAAGCTGACCACAATTTTGATGCCACCTTAATTAAAAGAGAAAACAATTCACTAAAATAAATATAGTTATATTATATATAATTATACTGACTATATATATATATATATATATATATATATATATATATATATATATATATATTATAAATTAACTGATTTAAAATATGGGTTTTTTGCTACACAGTAATAACCATGTTTCAAAAATGGAAGCTGAAAGCTTCAAATTTAATTTTGTAATTAAATTAAATCCATTTCATCCTCAAGCGAATTGTGGAGTAACTTATTTTTAAAAATTTACTGAGTTTTAAAGCCACAGAAAAATCATAATTCACTGTTTCCAATATATAGAGTGGTCCAATCATTCAGACAAGGGGTGGTAGCGTGTTCATTTTTATTAACTTTTGTTGTATCAGTTATTAGTTACGTTCGAAAAAGGGGTTATGTTTAGGTAGGTTAGGGATGTATTTTTCAACGAATTCTGACATCAGTTAAATGCATGTCGTCTGGGGTTTTTATTTTTAAAAATTATTGTTAACGGCAAAAAATTCTTACGGCATATTTTTCTATTTGTATTTTTGGGGGATGTTTAAGTTAGAATACGTTTTATTTAATTACAATTTTAAAATATTTTCACTTTTAATTTTTAATAGACTATATTTCTTTTAAAACAAGTAAATGTGGTAGAATTACTTACAGTATATACAATTATTTTCTCATATCAAGCCTAAGTATGTATATTACCGGAACCCATTTTTTTTTAATTTTATTTTTAAATATTATTTAAGGAAAATTTTTGATAATGACGGCAAAAAAGCTAATTCATTTCTCTGATTCAGAAAATTTTTAATTTTTATAAACTTAGTAATATATAGTTTCTCATGTATGCACAAAGGACATGGGTCATTTATGACATACATATTCTAGCTTTTCTTTTTAATTCCCATTTTACTGTAGGTGGTTTTGGGGATTCTTTTAAGTGCCAGAAGTACTTTGAGAGAGATGTTTGAGTTCCATATTTATTTATCTTAAATGAACCTTGATGTTGATTGTATCGTTTTTTGAAATCATGGCCAGTGCAACCTATATAAATTTTTATGTTTTCATGATTTTCAATAGAGGAGATATTGCATTGGTATACTAATGATTCCGTGCAACATTTATTTTGTAGAGGACAGTTGTGAGGGTTTCTACAGTTACATAATTTTTGTTTATCTTCATCTGTTTTTATTTTTATTTTTCCATTGTCTAAATTTCTTGGTTCTGGTATAAGTGTTTATTTAAGATATTAGCATTATGTTTCTTAATAATTTTTCTAAGTTTTCAGTACAGCTGTAACTTAATTTTAGTGTATTTTTATTGAAAATAGTACTTAGTTTACTTTCACTAGACTATTAATGCAAGGAATTTGTGTCCTAATTTGTTTTTACCATTTGGTTGTATGGGGGTGTACACCAAATTATTTTCTACTTCTGTTTTTTATGCTTTCCATTTTAATTTTTTATATAAGTTTTGGTTTTTTTGTAGCCTCTATCTTTTAGAGCTTTATTATATATATATATATATATATATATATATATATATATATATATATATATAATGAATGTATGTATGTGTGTGTGTGTATAGATTCTAAAACTGTAAACTCTGCCTGGAG